GCTGCCAATGGGATCACTGCGGGTGGGACAGAGAGCAGAGGGAATGTGTCCATGAGGGATCAGCCCATGCCAGAGATCACATCCAGGGAGCCATTCCCAGAGCTGTTCCCAGCCCCATCAGCTGCCTGCTGACCCCTCCCCACTCCCCCCAGCCAAAGCAGCCCTGCAGCAGCACCTGGGGGTGTTTGCTGTGCTGTGGGTGCAAACACCCCTCAGGATTCATCCCACCGCTCACAGAGCCACCAGCATTCCAGATCAAAGCCAGGCGTGACTCACCAAAGCTCAGGCCTCCACGGCRCTGCCTGCAGAAATCCAGTGCCTATTTTTGCATAAAAAGCAGTTCTTTCCAAAGCTATTCAAATGCCAGAAATAAGAGATTATTATGACTTTGTGTCATGTTGAAAGACAGGTGGAGGAGAGCACAATGTTTGTGTTGGATTCAAATGTCTGCTGAAATCATTCCTGTCATTCCTAATTGATGTTGCATCTGTCTTTAGATTGGGACTATTGAGAAAAAAAAACCCTGAAGATTTTATTCAGAGAAATAATTACAGTTATACGCTGGTAGATGTAAAATTAAAGTATGTGGGGGGAAGGGAACCACATCCTATAATTTATCAAATTTCTATGTCCCTGAAAAATAATTAGATGCTGGGCAGCATGCAGGCACTGCTGCAGAGGCTACTGTCAGGGGGATAGCAGTGGTCAAAACTAGGCCAGTGGCTCTCATTTATTCCATCCATTTTTGCTCTTCTGTTGCGTTTGGAGTATTAGTTTCCAACTRTCCAGAGACACAGCAGAGAAACAATGGCAGCTTTATTAAGAGCCAGAGACGTAATCCCCAAGCACGAGTGCAATTGCAGGAGCTGGAGAGGGAAAAAAGGGAATTCAACTTCTGTCTGGCTTTYAGGAATTTCACCCTCCAAAGTCCTTCAGCCTGATGCAGTTTGGCAGCACTGAATCTGCATTGCTTTGACAAACTTTGTTGAAGCTACTGAAGATTATTAATGGAAGCAGCCTGTGAGGGAGCTCTTCAATGGATGCCTCACATCCCACTTGTATGGCTTGGGGGTTTTTTTCCTCTTCTYTTTCTTGCTCCTTTTCCTGGTGGTTGTGTGGATGTTGGCTTAATCTATCACAGCTTGATTTGTAAATTTTAATACAAAGAACCCAATTAATCTGATCAAACTGGAAGCTGCTCCATGTATGACAGACACAGGTTTCTATCAACAGCTTCCTACTGACAGAGGACAGGGATGGGTGGGATATTAGGAAGAAATTCTTCCCTGTGAGGATGAGGAGGCCCGGGCACAGGGTGCCCAGAGAAGCTGAGCCTGCCCCTGGATCCCTGGAAATATCCAAGGCCAGGTTGGATGGGGCTTGGAGCACCCTGGGATAGTCGAAAGTGGCCCTGTGTCCATGGCTGGACAGGGGGGCTTGATGATATTTAATATTCCTTCCAACCCAAGCCATTCTGGGATTCTGGTGATGCCAGACAGCAGCTGCTTGCTCACTTGATAGGAAATTGTCCTGGAGGGGCCTATGAGGAGCGGGAGTTCAGAGCAGGAGTTCAGAGCACAGTTTCTAAGTCACAACTCAGAACAGGGCAGTTGTGACTGAGTTCAGCCCCATYATCCACAGAGTTCAGGGCTGCTTCTCCTCCCCAGTGAGTGTGCAGGGGTGTGGCTGGGGGGCACAGGGAGTGAAGCTGCTCTGGGACTGTCAGCTCCATGCCATGGACAGAGCAGTCCAAAGGGAATCCCGCTGGAGAGCAGGCAGTGTGTGCAGAAATCCAATACCCCAAATCCGTGCTGGGGTTGTGGCTGCTGTTTCACARACTCAATTAAAGCCACAGCAGGCTCTGCTCTCATCTGGGCTCTGCCTTACTGCAAGAGAGTGCAAACCCTTTGCTCATATGCAGTGGATAACAACAATTTTATATAAGTTGTGTGGATTTCATTTACAATTCACCCCCAGAACATTGTTTAAAAAGGTCTTGGAAGTGTAATTTTATACCAGAGTCTGCAATTGTGAACCACAGCCTCAGGCTGGCAGATAATTCCCTGGTATCCAGGCAATAGAGTTTATGTATAGAACTGCTTCCTGCAGCTTCAAGGACTTCTTCTGATAGTTGTCTTTCTAATTTCTACACCATGCATGCGAAACCAGGACTTTGTTCATAAATTAGGAATCTGTGCTTGTAACACGAGCTAATGCAGAGGTGTGTCAACTTCAGCAGTTTTTGTAGTTCTGGAAATTGAAAACTAATTGCTTATCAGAAATGTTCATCAGCAAGTTCCTAAATAAATATTAAAGTTTTACATTACAGAATCTTGCTGCTTCACTGGCTCYGACTGTAAAGTAGCTGGGAGGGATGGATTCCCCCTTCACACGCTGTTAGGTTAGGGAATTGTAAAATTAAGGTGCATTTTCCAGCACAATTCCATAAGACTTGCATGTCCAGATGCAATTTTAACTCCTCATTTATATTTRCAATTCAATGTGTGTAGGAGCCTTCAAAAATGAAGTCTGCCATAAGAATTAACTTCAAGTAATAAAAAGTAATAAAACCTGATTGCGGCAGCATCCCGGTTTTCTTCTGGAAATGTGTAAATAAAGAAGGGCTGGACTGGGTGGCAGTGGTTTCTGGAAGATTTCCTTTTCCACCTTTTCATTTTGCTACACCAATCAGCTCTACAATGACTCATTGCCTTCGTTAGGAGAGGGAAGACATCCCTCATTACTCATTACCAAAGGAAGGACTTGGCTGCTGCAAGGAGCAGCCCTGGCATTCTAATTCAGGCGCCTTCCACAGAAAGGAGTCAGTGTCACTCTTCCCCAAACTTTGTCAAAAGAGACAAAAAATAATGCTGTTTAATTGTCCCCATTTATAAATAGCCCATCCCAAATGACAGAATTGTTATTTTAATGCTGCAATTGGGAGGAAAAATGCACATTTTTCTGTATTTGTGTCTGAATTTCAGTTCAGGGAGCTCACGCTGAGACTCAAGGCTATAAATGATCATATATCTGTATTTATAAAAACAACACACATTTATTTACTTACAATTTATTGTCTGACTTTTTAATTACARAGCACTGTAGATATATTACATAAATGCATACACAAAGCATTTGTTGTTTAAGTAATCCAAGGATAGATTTGATTTCGAAGGGAGCTGRGAAGACTGTTTAAAATAACTGTTTTTCTTGATTTTACTAATACAAATGTTCCTTGTCTCTTTTCACATCCCYCTTTTTCAGATTTATTTACTTAGATATGAAGGAATTGAGCTTGTATTGAGTTTTTACTGTATTTTAATGTGGTTTTTATTAAGCTGTACAGTATGGCCCATGCCTCTTTATAAATAAAGCCATGATCATGTATTACTAGAAATCACATTTCAAACTGTACTTTTGCCAGACTTGGTTAAGATTTTCTAGGAAGGGACATTATAATTGTGTGATTAATCTTCAGAAAAGGGAAAATTTGGCTCTGCAGTATTTCTTACTGTATTAACTTCAGAGATTTATAAAACCAACTTGAAACTGCACCGTAAGTGTGTTTATAACGACTTTCAGCTGATTTAATAATCCTCAGAGTTTGGTGACTGTACAGATCACAGCTCCCCAGACACAGTGCATTACCTGCAGCATCCTGATGAAGTTATCAGAGGTGATTTGGGATTGTGTTTCTCCAGAGYGTGGCACTAATCCCAGCCCGGCTGCGGTGGGGCTCCCGGAGCCCGGGGCTGCTTTGATCCCATTGTGCAGTGGGACATGTGCACGGCTGATAAAGACATCTCAGGGCTGTGGGTGATACAGAACATCTTGGGCTGGTGGATCATAAAGAGCAGCTCAGGGCTGGAAGCGCATCTGGGGCATGTGGATACCCCCAAACCCGGGGCCAGGYTCCTGCTAGGGTCACATTCTTATGAAAATTTCCAAGCAGATTTTCTGATTGATTTTTGCTGTTGTTATCAGTGCTCSCACCAGTGCCATTCCCTGCAGTTGGCACTGCTCAGTGACCATCTCAGCTCATGATCCTGCAAACCTGTCCCATCCAAGGAGCCCTTGAGCATTCAAACAGCYCTGCTAAACTGCAGGTATTGGTGCTGCTTCATCCCAGAGCAGTGAGAGCCTCTCAGACACGATGTGCAGGATCAGCTCCTTCAATCCCATTTATATGTGACAAGCCATGGCACAAAGTTATTTTTAAAAGTCACCAGTTAAARCAAAACCAGTTGAAGCCATGCCAGAAGCCCCATGTTAACTTTCCTGGCTGTGTGCTTCTTTCAGTGTTTCCAAGCTTTGCTTTTCATAATGAATATCAAACAAGTGCCCTGGGAATCTCTGGGAGCTGCATTGSCAGGTCTCAGTCTCCATTTACCACACAGATACTCAGCCTCTGCTCACAAATGGTCACTTGCTCACAAATGGCCACTTGCTGGGTCAGAACTCGGTTTGTTCACACAGAACTGGGGAGCTCTGGGTGGATGTGGGGTGAGTGCACAAAATCCCAGAGCACGGGGCTTTAAGCCAGGAAGGGAACAGAACACAAAATAGAGCTGAATTTACTTGTGCTCAAGAATCCAAATACTGAACATGTTTTTGCAAAACCCTGATTTTTCTTTTTATGGCCTTCCAATTCACAACAGGTAAGTAATCAGGCTTCAATCAACTGCCTATTTCCAGACCAGTCATTTGAGCTATTTTGTGACTTTAAAGCAATTCCTGACCTTCATCTCTCAGATGACATGCAGAGTTTCTTTAATGGTGCTGAGGACTGAACAGGCGCCCACTAACACCTACAGAATTCACCTCTCCAGCGTTTTCTTAATTTTCACTTTATTAAGCAGATAAAAGAGGAGCTGTTTCCTTCCCAGACTCCCTCGCTGGCTYTGTGAGGGACTGTGAGGCAGCAGTCCAGCCAGGCATTTCTTTGATCAATAAACAGGGTAAAATTGTGGCAAGCCTAACRTGTGGCTTTGTGTCCCTAGGCATCCACTGTGACAACATCTGCACCCAGGGCCGCTGGGGACCCAACTGCTCCATCTCGTGCAGCTGTGAGAATGGGGGCTCCTGCTCCCCCGAGGATGGGACCTGTGACTGTGCACCGGGATACAGAGGACCCATGTGCCAGAGAAGTAAGATTTTCCATAGCTGGCAGAAGTAAGGTAGAAATTCTCCTTTAGGACACCACACAGACAAAAGCACAATTTCTGAGTTGCTTTAGCTCATGAATTCCTRAGGGCAAAAGAGCCTAAAAAATGCTCCTTCATCGAGAAGTCAAGGCTGTCCTGCACTGAGCCTTGTGTTTCTTCTGATYTTTCAGTACACCTGGAGGTCACAGGTGAGCTGAAAGGAGGAGCAACACCTTTATAAAGCAAAGCTGGCAGGACACAGATCTGCAGAAAAGTCAGACCTGTTAAACAGAATCAGCTACCACCCGTCACTAATGACAAGTGGATGAGTGTTGGCATCAAAATAACAAGGCAATGTTTTCTTAAATGCCAGAAAAAGAAACACAGCAGCCTGAAATAGCTCCTGTTTGATGCTGTGCTGCTACATATTCAAATGCACCAAGCAGATAAAAATCCTCGCATTTGCTTCGTCTGGGAAGCTGCATTTGCCCCATAGGGACCCTAATTCACTGATCCAGACTACACCAGCCATCTTCCCATGTCAACAAGGAGTACATTTGTCTTTCTGTTCTGTTCAGAATTTCTTGTTCCTGTAAGACATTCTGCATGCCCAGTTCGTATATCCCCTTTGATTTCACCAGTTACACTTGACACTGGAACACACTCATCTCTAAAAATAATTTGTGGCTGACAGTTTTTATTTAAAGCCATTATAACAATGACCTCTAGCACTGCTGTAGTTAATGGCCTATAAGCATTTCCATTATAAACCCCAATTTCCAGGTGCTTCAGCATATCTGTGTAGCTGTAAAACCTCTCTCCAAGGCTAAAATGTGGTGCTCAGAGCTTCAGGGAGTTGGGGAAGAAAATGTTTYACAAATTTGAAACCTTAAGAGTGCAAAACTTCCAGAAGTTAATAGTTTCTGACCTCTCTGAGATGAAAAAAAAAAACAGCTTAGTTTTATCAGCTGTTGGCATGAAGGCTACAAGAGCAAACCTTGTCCCTGGTTTGCAAGCCCAGGATTCAGGCTGCTCCCTGAGGTTTGCTGAGGGTCTAATGGGGAGAAATTTTCCTCCCCACTGGGATGACAGCAGAGGGGTCCTGTGGATGCTCCTGCTGTTGCCTCTGTGAGCATATGGCCTGGAATTCTGCTTTCTTCCACCTCTTTTGTGGGATTCAGGCTCAGGAATAWCTGGTGAACAGCAGACCTTGCTGAGGTTGTTCTCAAAATCATCCACATTTTTTTTCTTGGAAATTAATTTAGAAACAGAATTTAGGCTGTACAAGGCAGAACTGAGGATGATACTGAAGATGATACTCAGCCAGCTTGTTCTGTCTGTGTAATCAGGATTACATGAGACACTGGGATGCTTTAGTGCTCTTAAGCCTGCAGAAATGTCTCCAGGAATGAGCCAGGTTGTTTTATAGCTACTGCATCATCAACCAACCTGTCAGCTAAGCTCCAGCTGGGAATGTGCAGTGGTGTAAGAGCCTGACACCCTCTGAGAACACACAATTCAAGAGAAAATTCTCATTTGCTGGAAAAAGGGAATGGACATGATTTAGTAACCACTGAGCCAGAACTATAGAACAGAGAATCACAGGAGTAAAAATAAAAACATATAAAGTTATTTTTACTGTCACTTGGTGCAATTTAACATTTCTTTGTGTTATCTATTGCAGTGAATGTTTGGACAGTGGATGCTTTTTCACTCTGCATGCGCTTAGAAGCAAAARTCAGCTTTTAGAAGAGATCCTGAGCCATAATCCTGACTCTGTACCTGATGCACAAATTCTTTAATAATTTCAATCCAGCTTTTAGGCAAAATAAGCATAGAGTTCATGACAAGTTTACTCAGCTATCTGGCATGATGACTGATGCAAATCAGGTGATTTTGTATGGTTTTACATAATTACCATTATCAGATTCTGTTCATCACCTGATGGCTGTTGCTCCTGTCATGAAAGGGATGAAATGACTGCCCCAGCTGAGCACAGGCATTGCACCAGATAGATTTGGAAATCTGCTTTTGGGATAGAAGTTTGGACATAAAATATTGTTTCCTAATACACCTTCTCTGATTTCTCAGCTCAGTTTCCAAAGGAAATGGTGTTCTGAGTTTCTGTTGTTTCCTACCTATCTTAAAAGTTTTGGAATGTGTTRTTAAMCCTATATGCAGTAGGCTCAAACRTCTTAAACTCCTATTTTGTCGAAGMGTTCAGGTTAGAGAGACTCAAATGAGTGTCCTGGGAGAGAGAGGCTGCTGAGAATTCTTCTGTGTCATTAAATACCCCAGGAAGGAAGGTGGGAATGCTTGAACACAGGAGCAGTTTTASCCAGAGCTTGCACTTTATTAGACGTGGAGCAATCCAGCAGATTTCATCATTTCAGCTGTCCACAGAATCGTGGGGGATAAATTAAGAAATATTGGTTTGRGATTAAGACAGACAGAGAGAATTGTCGAGCTCTCAATGATGAGAAAACATTAGAGAACCCRACAGCTTGTTTTGTTTTGTTTTCAGTTTGCCCCCCTGGATTTTACGGACACCACTGCAGCCAGCCCTGTCCCCAGTGTGTGCACAGCAATGGTCCCTGTCACCACGTGTCTGGACACTGTGACTGCCTGCCTGGATTCTTCGGCCCTCTCTGCAACCAAGGTACCACCCCAGGGCCACCTCCTTTGCTGAGTGGCTGTGACTCTGCAGTGAGTCCCATCACAAGGCTCCTGCTTTTTTTCCTTGTTTCAGCAGTGTAGATCCCAAGAAAATCTTTCCTTCAGAGGGAAAATGCAGATAGGTGTTCAGTCACCCTTGTGTAAATGCAGTGTGCTCCTGTTTCATAAATAAACCAGGCTGGATTGAAATGGTCACAGAATGAGACACTGCTGGAAATACATCAGCACCCAGTGGGTTCATTTTTCTCMCTGCTCAGCCTGTCCTCACCTGCATGTTGATGGCACCTTCATGTGATMTTTGCAGCAGGATGTGGAGGTGCTGGTTAAGGTAAAGGCCAGCTCAGGTGCCCCATCCCAAACATCAGCTTTGCACAGAATCTCATTTACACTGGCCAGGGCCTGGCTGGGAGTAGCTGAAACCGTGGACACAAATGCAGGAGACAGGAAGTTGGCAGTGAGGAAGCAAAGGGAGTTGATTTTCCCAGGTGAAGAGGAGCTTCAGCTCCCCAAATGCCCATCACCTTCATGTACCTTTGAACGTTAGTCCCCATTTATCTGCAGGTTTCATTTTCATCCTAAAAATACCCCAGAATCACTCAGCCTTCTGCTCTCTCAGTTGCTGCACACTGCAGAGGGTGTTTTCTACACAGATATTTAAGAGGTGATTCGTAGTGGCCRCTGCCCTTGTGAAGTCACCATCCCTGCCAGAATTGAACGACACTTCCAATGACCTGCTTTTCAATAAACTGGGATTGCAGGCAGCACTTACCCAAAATCATTAAACATAGATTAAGTATAACCGTGTTTTCTTTTTTCTGTGCTGTATAGGCAAGGAAACATTACACCAATTAATTTATTAAAATGAAYGTATTTCAGCGAATTTGTCCATTTTGTGTGAAACGTTAGCCAGATTTCAAAGYGTAAGCAGGTCTAATTATCCTCTTAAGAAAACTATTTTATTTTTKCTCAGATGTTCAGCACTTCTGGTTTTACTTTGAAATGTTGATCCATCCAACAAATTAATTTTAAAATATTCATGTCCTAATTAAAATCAATTTGTGTTGCAGTTTGTCATAATGAGTTAACATGTAACTTTATTTTGTAGAAAGAAAAATGCTAATTAACGTTTTCCATTAGAAAAAAAATGTGAAACGAAGATTCCACTTTGGAATTTTCATCTCCTTGTGCCTTTGGCAGCAGGAACGTTCTTGCACCAGCAGTGTGTGCATGTGAGGAGCTGTGTAAGCCCCRAAACTGCACAGGTTGGCATGGCTGTGCTGAGAATTCTGAGCTGCAAACAATAAACAGCTGTTCTCTGAGTATCTTGCACAATCACAGAGCAAGATGGGTTGATAAGAGCTTGTTATCASTGTTAGAGCACACCTGACCTCCCCCAGGGGCTTTGGGAGTCCCACTGCAGAGCTTTTCTGGCTAATTAACATCACAGTCTGTGTTGTAGAGTCAGGTTGCTCCTGAGGAAAGCAGCGTTAGGCCTTGTTTTACAGCTCTCTAAAAATGGCTGAGACATTTAAAAGTGCTTGATTTAGATTTCACATCTTCACAAGAGTCGCTGTGTCAATCCACAACCAGGTTGTTTAAATTAAGGAGAAAATTGTTTGTGATTCCTCTGTGCTGACATTCCAGAGAGCATCATCCCATTTCCTGGAGACAAGAGGGTCCCACAGGGAGGGAACCCCTCTGCCAGCCCTCCCTGTGTGTACCAAAGCACAGAAATGTGACCTGGTGCTCTCAGAGGCTCTGCTTGGGTCATAAACCTTGTGCTGATCCATCAGCATTCCATGCTGCAGTCCAAATCTGCTCCTATTCTAAGGAAATCCTGTGATAATTGCATTTTTTGTCCATACAGAACCCCAGCCTTCACTGAGGTGATCTCCATCTCAGAGGTGCCATAAACCAGTGCCAGGAGCACTGGAAGGGAATGATGGTGTGGCCAAGAGCCTGGGCTGACAGCTCAGTTCAGGTTTTGCTGTCTGTGACAGGAGGGCTCTGCTTCCCTCCTCTCTCTGTGTTGTTCTTTCCATCGTGCCTGTACACTGTGTGTAGTTTTATCTCTTTTTACTTAGGAACTGTTCTGTTTAGCACACAGTGTGAAAGCCAAACCCAACTTTATCCACTCCTACAGATAAGTCCATAATCTAGAGAAAGGCAGGCAGAAAACAATACTCTGTTGTAGTAAGAGAAGAGGATGGCATATTATATAAAAGCCAATGAATCACAGCTCAGGATTTCAATCTGTGGCTGATTCACAGTCAGGATAGATTGAGGTCACCTGCAGAGACTACTTTTGAGAAAGTGAGAAAGGCTGAAGTGGTGAAACAGCTGCATAATTCAGGGAAGTGCCTTAATCACTTTTTTGACATCGCTATTATTTACCAGGATCCAAGTCCAGTTCCATTTGTTACACTCCTTGCAAAGATGGACTGTATGTTTTATCTTGTTTTGAAAATACATCTGTTTTTGTCAGGGAACACAGCCAATAGGAGCCCAGAAATGAAACATTTCATTCGTTACTGAGCAGAGCTTTCCATCAACTTTACCGTTAAAGATTTCCAATAATTTGGTGGGAGGTTGAAGATCTACATGTCTATTAGTTTCCTGTCACTGTGCTCAGGATGATACAAGATGACTCTGGAAAAAAATTCAGAGTTTCTTTTCTTCCAGCTTGAGTTAGGTGGGCACAGAGGGAGAGGTGCTCATTTTTTTGGGATGCAGAAAATCTGTTTAAGAACTCTCAGTCAAACATATATAACATATATATAATATACATATATATATTTAAATGTATAAAAGTCCTTGCAAACCAGATCAATTCCTTCCAGCCACTTACTTATGGCTGCTACTCATTGAATTCTCCTCAACTTTCCTATTCCYTTCCTCTCCCAAAGACCCTTTTTCTCTGTTTTATCTCTCCTCTTGCCATCCTTCCATACTGCCCTTCAATAATTACAATCTTCTGACTATATTAGCTTCATTTTCCAGCAGAAAAATGGATTTTGAAATTACTTTTTCCTATTGTTTTTATGCCTGGGATGCAAGCAAAATGGGCTCGAATACTTTCTGCCTTTTCCCGCTTTCCAGAGGAATTTTGCTTCATCAAAGAAAAATGCTGTAATTAATTTTATCTCTAACTGCTGAATGCTGAGTCCTATGATTGCCTCCCATTCCTTTTGAAGAGTAAACTGCCTTGTGTTTTCAGTGTGTCCCAGTGGGAAATAYGGGAAGGACTGTGCCGAGGTCTGCCAGTGCACCGAGAACGGGACGTGCAATCCCATCGACGGATCGTGCCAGTGTTTCCCGGGCTGGATAGGGATGGACTGCTCTCAGAGTAAGCAAAGGGTTCTTTTTCCACCTCTCCTTTCAAATATCGTATTTTTTGTGCTTGTTTAGTGTTTTCTGAAAGTCAAAGGTAGATTCTAGGGAAAGTCCCTGTTGTATTGCAGCCAGTGCCTTACTCTCTTTAGAGCTGATTTCTTTTAATTAATCTCAGTTAGCTTTGGATTGAATTAGTTTCTGCATTTGGAGTTTGCAGAAGCCTTTTATTCCAGGAAAGGGAGGTCACAAGCTCTTATCAGAAAAGAAAGCTCCATGCTCCCTTTTAATTTGTAGCTGGATTCCCTTTTATTTATTTTTTTGAAATCGTTTTCTTTCCGCTATTACATTTAGACATTATTAACCAGTAAATGTTTTCATGTACAAAATCCCCAGAATTGAGAAATTAGGCAGCTGAAATATTTCTATTAAATGTAATTTAATTGTAAAAGTCAATGTGGCCTTGTAGGGATGGAGGATTTCTTTCTGAAAATTGCCCAGGTAGAAGATTGGCATTTGCTGATCCCAAAGTGTCATTTCCTGAGAGCATCCCTTAATTGAAGCTAGATCACAGAGGGAGGCAATATCCGATCATTCAGAAATGTTACTTCATATTCAGGRTACAACTAGCATATTAGACAGCATTCCAGAGTAAAATATATTAAACTTCGAGTGATAAAGCAGGAATCGGATAAAAACAGACGGCTGTAATTTTGCTTTATTGTGTGTCTTCCACAGGCAGAATATTGCTGTCACTCAAAAAYGGAAAAAAGAAAAGAAAAAAAAGACAGAAAGCTGCACATATTCCTCATTATATTTAGCCATGTAATTGGGAAATGAATGTTAGTGTCTGTTAACCTTGAAAAAAGCTGGTTTCCTTCCCGAGCGAGGCCGGCCGGGTCAGCAGAGCCCGTTATTGAGGCAGGAGCTGGCTGTGGCTGCTCTGTGGTTTGGGTGAGCAGAGGGGCCGTGGCTCTGTGCTCTGTCACTCCTTCCACACAAGGTGTGCCTCCCCAAAGTGACCCTGGGCCACCCCCGGCTCCCGTGGGCACCTGGCCTCACCTCCYGAGCTATTCCCAGCCCTGCGCTCCGGATAACCTGGAATGACCCCGAGCCCGAGCTGCTCAGGAGATAATTTTAGCTCCCACTCCAGAGCCAGTTCTGGATTCACTGACAACCCCTGCAGCTCAGCCTTCGAAAGGCGTTGGAAAAGTGTTTCTGGTTGCTCATAGCACAAACACTTTGGGCCAAACCCTGCTCAGCTTTACATGGTGTGAGTCCAGTGACCTTTTGTTGGATTTACGTCATGGCAGCGTTTTTTTGGCCGTTCATTCTGGCTTTAGAGGTGTCTGTCAAATGCCAGAAACTTCCATTTATCATCCATGGAGCCATTGGCATCCGTGGAAGAGGCATGGTAGTGCTTTCAGGTTTCCTGGGAACGGTGCCTTATTAATTCATGTCTTTAGCAGRAGGCAGTGGAAAGCGCTTTTTAAAGCAAAAATATAGTTGTTATATTGAAGGGCTATCRTAATTTTGGATCTTTTAGTCTGGCACTAATAACTGTAACTTACTGCATTCATTTTTGGAGGGAGGCTTAAAATAACTTTTTAAAATGTATTAATATTGTACTTGTTGAAATATAAAATAGACCCGGAGATTTCAATTTAATATTAGCTCCAACAACAAAAGCAATCTGAATTTGTGGATGGGAATTCATACTGGAAGAAGTTGTCTTTGCATTTTTTACATGATTGGAGTAGCACTCTGTGTTTCAAATGAATGTGGTAATTTTAGTRGTTGATTGCATAGCAAAGTAAACCTGAATAGCTGGGCTTTATTATGCAAGAATTCCAGAATGTCAAAAAGAAAATTAAATTACCTCCATATCTTGCAACCCTGCCTAAATTGTCTTCACAGATAATGGCAGTGAGGCAGGGAGCGTGGCCAGAGCACAGCACAGAGCGAGGTCGTGTCAAGGGTYGCTGGTTCAGTGGTTTTCAGTGAGGCAAAGACCTGACCCTGCCCCSTGCCCTACACAGAGGATCATGGAATCACAGAATCCTGGGAAAGCTTGGGTTGGAAGGGACCCTAAAGYCCATCYAGTCCCATCCCCTGCCTTGGRTAGGGACACCTTCCACTGTCCCAGGGTGCTCCAAYCTGCCAGGGACACTGCCAGGGATCCAGGGGCAGCCACAGCTTCTCTGGGYACCCTGTGCCAGGGCCTCMCCACCCTCACAGGAAACAACTTCTTCCCAGTATCCCATCTCCAACCCTTGGAGCATCTCCATGGCTTCCTCTGGACTCTCTCTGGCAGCTCCACATCCTCCTGATGTTGTTCCCCAGGGCTGGAGGCAGCTCTGCAGGTGGAGGGCAGAGGGGCAGAATCCCCTCCATGGACCTACTGGAGAAATCCCTGTGCCAGGGCTTGGCAGCACWGGAGAGGTTACAGGGTGGCACCAGGGTTTGCAGAGCAATTGGTGGCTTGAAGGACCGCAGTCTCCCTCCAGGAAAGACCAGTCACTGTCCAGGAAGGACCGGTCACTGTCCAGGAGGGACTGATCACTGTCCAGAAAGGACTGGTCACTGTCCAGGAAGGACTGGTCACTGTCCAGGAGTCTCTGCCAAGCTCAGCAGTGTCAGGTTCTGCTTTTGCTGGTGTCTCACAGGCTCTCCTTTCATTGCTGCCCCTCTTCAGCACTAACACGGAATCGTTGCTTTTTTTCTCCCCTCGACTGACAAATGTTTTTTATTCTCCTAGCTTGTCCCACTGGGTTTTGGGGCCCCGATTGCTTTCATTCATGCAACTGCCACAACGGAGCACTGTGCAGCCCCTACGATGGAGAATGTAGATGCACCCATGGCTGGACGGGGCTCTACTGCACTCAGCGTAAGCCTTTCAGAGACAGGGCATCTGTCAAAGTATGTGCTGCTACCTCGTGTCTCTTCCAAGTATTGCAGTTTTCCCTGGAAAACCACRTGCTCACTGCTGGTAACCTCACATCACCCCTAAGAAAATAGTCCTGAAGCTTTCCAAGGTTTTTATGCCTTTGGCGCTTGGTAAAGGAGGGGAAGATCATTTAGGTTATTGATTCATTGTGAGAATTTGCACAGTCAGTGTCCCCGCTTGTTAATGTCCCAGTATTTGTGGTCTGATTTAGGAAAACATTAGAGATTTCTCACCCTAGTGCCAAATTACCAGTATGAAAGCAGAGATCCAATTCTGGTGAGCCTTTCAAGATGGTTCTTTCACTTGCAAGTAATTGATTGATCCCTGGTCTTCCACAGAGTTTCTGTTTAGCATCTCCTTTCCCTTCTTGAAAATGTAGTTTGTAGGGATGGGTCAAGTTTTCATTCTTCTGAAATAGTTAAGAGGCAATTTTGTAAAGATGAGAAACATTACTTCAAGAAAATTGGCTGTCACAGTATCTCTGCATTTAGACCATCAAATAAATGGCATTAAATATACAGAGGCCGAAAATCCATAGATTTATGAACCCATATACTTTGTGCTGATAATGCATCTGAGTTTGGCTTTCAGCTTATTTCTTACGCTTTCCTTGTTCTGATTCCTGAAAGGTTGCCCAGCTGCTTTTTATGGAAAAAACTGTGCCAATGTGTGCCAGTGTCAGAATGGAGCTGACTGTGACCACATCACCGGCCAGTGCACGTGCAGGACGGGATTTACAGGCAAGCAGTGYGAGCAGAGTAAGTACCAGCCACCTCAGCTCTCTCTTTCTCCAGAGAGAGGGGTTTGTTTCAGAATTCCTTGCACAAACAGCCTCTCAAATGAGGTGTTGGTGTCAGCAGGACGGTGACCACAGACACCTTATATGATCCATAGGGAGGAGAGGCTGTATCTGGAAAACTGGACAGTCTAAGCATAAAGAAATACAGTGAATCACTGCAAATTGGACTTTTTTGTTCCCAGGCTAAAGCTGGGTGAGAGAAAAAAAAATCACTGCACTCAGTGCTGACTGGGTGGAGCCTTCCCACACATTTTTTGCCTAATTTATAAAAAAAAACAGCCCTAAAGCTGCCTCATGCCTGGGTAAYGCTGCTGAGAGCAGCAGCCCCAGSTTTCCCAATGCATGAAGAGAGAYAGAAGGGTTAAAAGGARTAAGTCCTTCCTGTTCTCTGCCTTSCAAGGAATCCTGGGGATATKGGGCTTTYCCACAGAAGTTTGGAYGTAAGACATAGACCAAATAAAGATTCATCTTTATAGTGGAAGCAGATAAGGAAAACAAGGCTGCTTGCTATTTTGGRAAGGGTCTGTGTTTAGCTTGAGCAGTGGGCAAGTGTTTCCCAATGAACTTCAATWCTCACACGAAGGGGTCTGGAATGCCTTACTGGATTTGTTATCCATGTCCCACTGGAATATTTAGCACCTGTGCCAAATGGCTTCTTTAAAGAGTATGGAATGAGGGTCATGGATGTGCTGTAGCTGAATAATTGCTTGTTTGCTCAGTGCAGTAAATCACAAGGAAATTCTCACACTTGCTGGGATTCTAAACACAGCTGAATCCATCTCACCTTCCTGACACATTAATTCACAGGGTTCCCTCACTTTTTTTGGCAGTAAGATAATTCAGTGACATTCCTGCTAGATTTGCAAGGGAAGGCTTTTAAACTGTATCTTGTTACRTGGATCCTTGTGGAAGTATTTGTGCATGTGATTTAATCCACAAATACTTTTTTGCACCCACCTGCATTCAGCAAAGCGAATGTCTCGAGGCCAAATTTGTGTGTTCGTGGGGGATTGCACATGGCACCACTGTAAGTCTGGAAGTGGACAACTTTCTGGAATTTGGGGACACCCTTTTCTGCAGCCACAATCAAAATAGTAAACTAAAGAGTCGCACAAAGAACTGCACAATAGCAGATTTTATACAAGGACTTGCTTTTTAATTTGACCTCTGTACAAAGCCTGAGGCTYTCTTTTTTATCCAAACTACAAATACATTTATTTACTTGTTTTTCTACTATTTARTCTAAAAGAATCTCTTCATTAAGACTCCTTCCTTCTCCAAATCCTGCTGAATGGGCAGTCACACTGCATTGCAGATGAAATGCCTAATTGCAGGCATCATTTCTGTGGTGCAGTCCCAAAATTTRGGCCTTATTCATTTTAAGTAGGCTGCAGGCTAATATAAGAATGAGCATTAATTGTAATAATTTTCWTTTTTTCTTTGAGGACCAGCAGAYTAAAGAAAGCAATGCAACTTTAATACACATGCAAATCAATAAACAGATACTAGCTATGGTTCATTACTTAATATTAAATTTTGGCTACCAGAAGCTACTCTGGGACTGACACTGGGGAGATGTTGTCATGCAATGAAAAACATTTGCTATGACACACTGGAGTCACAACTTAAACAATATATTCTGCAGGATCATGGCAAGTGTGTGCATTTTCAGGAGTGCAGCTTCTCCATGGAAATAAGTGGGATGTGACAGACATTGTTTCTTTCAATTCRTTATTGAATAGTGCCTCCAGAAGTATAGTAAGCTGCCTCCAGATTTATTGTAATAGCCCATCATGGTAATTATATGAATAAATTTCTCAGCTGGACATTCAATCATTTTGTCTTTGATAGAAACACAAAGACAGGACAGAAATTCCTTCTATATTAGGAATCCTGACACAGAAGCAGAGCAAATCAAACCATTCAGATGCTCAGTTCTGTAATTCCACCTGCAATGTTCTATTCACCTCCTGGCACTGGTAGGGATGAGCAGGAAAGCATGTGGGATTTGTTTGCTGAAGTCTGTTGGGTTCATATAAAGGTTCATTAAAACTTTTCTTTGCAACTGCCCCTGTGAAAAAGAAAAAAAGGTAGTCTGGTGAAAATTGCTAAGCTCTGTTGTTGATAGATTCTGAGCTCCAGCTCTGTAAAATTCAACATTTGTAATATATTTTAAGTCKTCTAAAGCCTTTGTACCTATCACTGATTTTACTGTATGAATTTTCAGAAAGTTACAGCTTAATAAGTGACAAGCTGCACATGAAACACATTTAATTTCTGCTTTAAAATAAGAACAATTTCATATTGGAGTGTTATCCTAGAGATCCTATAACCTGGGAGATTGTTCTACGAAATTTCCCACCRCAAGTGTTGTGCCCATTCCCAAAAACTGTAGGATTCTTTCCCATGTTTTCCTTTGGCTCCCCAGAGTGCTCTCCAGGAACGTTTGGTTATGGCTGCAAACAGCTCTGTGAGTGCATGAACAATGCAACGTGTGACCACGTCACAGGTACTTGCTACTGCAGTCCAGGCTTCAAAGGAATCCGGTGTGATCAAGGTACAGTGGGATTCTACCCAGAAAACCCCTCTCTCCCTCTCTCTCCCTCTCTCCAGTGATGTACTTGCTTTCAAAAAAAMCAGTTTCCAGAATGAAATGCGCGATTCCATTTACGGTGTGTTATGAATTACTTTTAACAGCGGCTCTTATGATGGAAGAATTAAACCCCTATACTAAAATTAGCCCTGCTCTTGGATCAGAGAGGCACTCAGTGGGAGCAATCATTGGAATTATTATTCTCCTTCTAATTATTATGGTCTTGCTGGCACTCTTTGTGTGGTATCGACGGAAACAGAAGGAGAAGGGCCATGACATGCCAAGTGTGTCCTACACTCCAGCCATGAGGATGACTAATACAGATTACTCACTTTCTGGTAAGGGTCTTTTTATGTTAATCAAATCCAGACTCATATTCCTGTCTGTTGGGGAAATACAAGTTTCTGTGATGTGTAACATGTGTTGTCGAGCCTCAAAAATAATGACACTTCTGTTCTTCCGTGGAATAACAGGATCTTTAAACACATAAATGGGACAGGAAGCAAATATAGAACTGATTTAAGCTGCTTTCTGTGTGGAAGTTGATATGGGATATACCTAGGCAGGAAATAYGCTGCATGGAATTTTGAGTCCTGTGCATTCCTGTTGCAGTGCAGAGAGGTTTTCCCTTTGTGAAACCTTGGAAAGGTTGGGGGTTTTTTTGGGTTTTTTTTGTTGTTTTTTTGGGGTTTTTTTTGAGGAATGGGATTGACTGGGTCAGTCGTAAGGGTTTGGTTTTGGCTGTGTTGCAGTTTGTGATTTGAGGTGTCTGTTTGCTGTCACTCTATGCTGTGTGCAGAGCAGTCCCTATCCCTGGTGGGAATGTTCTTCCCCGGAGCTGAGGAAAGCAGGAGATGGGAAGAGGGAGGCTCTTCAGGRTCAAAGCATTCTTCCTTTCTCTCCTCTGCTACTGCTGTGGAGGGCAGCTTTTCTTGGCGGATTGGCTAAATTTTGAAGGATGTGATCTCCTTTTTAACACTGTCATTCTTATCCACTCCTTTCTGGCCAATATCAGGGACAATGCCAGGCAGGAGATGGCTTTGAGGCTCTTGCTTAAGCTGCCCATTTGGGTAAGAAGAGGATTTCTTCACATTCCTCTCAGGTGCAGCCACCTTTCCCAGATGGTGGGAACGCCAATGATGCCATATGATATTTCAGTATATGAGGAACAAAAGTATTTTGGAGATGGCTAAATTCCTGGATACATACTAAATACCTGAAAAATCACTAAATTATAAGCAATTATAAATCTCCTTTGGTCCTTGGGCAGGGAGTTTAATTCTGGCCCTTGTGSCATTGCTGCTCTGTGTCAGCTCAGTTTGTAAAAACCCTCAAGAACCAGCTCCTCATCGTCACGAACAGCACCAGGTCAGTGGGGTTTCATGGGCTTCTCCAGGAAGGAGTTGAATAATGTTTTTTTCCTGTTCATCTCAGTCAATGATGGGGATGCATAGATCGGGCATTTTCTTTCTTCTTTCTTTGTGCAGCTCTTGTAGCAATAGGAATTGTATCACTCAGGAAGCTGCAGCACGGTGGGGTCAGGCATCTCTCTCGGGAGGTCACAAGGACAGWTTTCTTCCTTGTCCCCCTTGGAAAACTCTGCCATCTGAGCTTGCAGAGGAAGGTTAAGACGTTAGAAACACACTGCTCCATCTTCAGCTCATTATAAATTGCCTGCAGGTACCAGCATTGTTTCAAGTTTTGGGTTTTGCCCTTCACAAATCCTAGACAAGAGCTTCTGAAAACTCCCTTCCAAATTCTGACTGTCCTCCAACACATTCCCCTACTGAGATTTTCTACCCATCAGTAACTGCCCAAACTTSGGCCTTACCAATGCTGCCTCGCTTCCAGAGAGCAGAGAGGAAGGRAAAGGTGCTGGCAGGCTCTGTGCTCAGCAGAAATGGGGAGGTGGATACTGAGACCAGCTCACAGAAAGGGAATGTCTGGAGAGACAGCATGGGTGTGTGTGAGGGCAGAGTGCCCACGTGTGTCACAGAGGGTGCTGAAGGACGGCAGCAATAGCGCAAACAGCGACTCCAGCCTTCACCAGCAGGCTTGCTTGGGGATTAAGGGCAGATAYTCTGCAGCTGTACTTGTCCAATGAACATAATCCCGTGTAAACCCATGTACTTTGGCAGGAAATCCCTCTGGATGGCTGCAGCATCCAGCCCTCTGTGGCTTGTAACACTATGGCTCTCCTGAATCACCAGTTGTTGTTTTCCTGTTTACTCTTATTTGGGTAGCGGTGGTGTTGTTTCCAAACAGAGTCACATWCACAGATCCCAAGCTCCTGGAGGCAGCAATTTCTTCCAGTACATTAATTTCTGGAGGATGTTTTGGGTCTTTACGTCCTCAGCTCTTCTGAAGCTGATAATCCATGCATATGTGGGAGAGAGATTATAAGGAAGGGGAACCCCCTGGGCAGCCCTTGGAYTCTTTTGCATTTGTGGATGAAGGATGTGGCAGCAAAACACACACTTTGCCCAGCAGCCAGAGCAAAAGAAAGCCAGCCATGCTGGGAGAGCTTATGCACAGCACATGCATCTGAGAGCAAAGTTTCCCAAAYAAGCCTGAAATCAAAATGGTGCTCCTCAGCATGTGAGCAGTGCACTATGTCCAAAAAATATTTTAAAGTGCAGGTTGTTCAGTTCATGGAGTTGGGGTCAGAAGGGAAAACTCTGTGGTAGTGCTGGAGAGCAGCAGAGATTTCTTAGTGGGACTTTCACAAAGACTTGGCTATGGGCTGAAGTGATGTTTGAGGTCTTATCAAGGTTTTAGCAAACTTTCTGCTATGGGTGCATCCTCTGCTGAGAGCCCAGAGCTGAGCAAAGCTTGGTACAAATAAAGCACCGTGGATCCTGAAGCCTAGACAAGACACTTCCAGAAATGATCTGCAGATGATGGGTGGTGGGAGGTGGCGAAGTGAACCCTCCTGTTTGGAGCCTTCAGCCGTCTCCCTGACACTGTGAGGGCGGAGAAGACCCACACAGAGAGAAGGGAGCAGTTCCATTTAGCAGTGACAAGTCTGAGTTTGTATTTACTGCAGAGTGCTCACTTATTCCCTTTTTGGGGCTGGCCYTGTGCCCGGTTCCCACACTATTGTCCTGTGGGATGGGGACTGATGTTCTCTGTGTCACCCCACAGCCCAGGCTCAGAGCAGGAGCTCRGTCTAATTCCCTTTCCTTTAGGCATTTAGGTCTTTCTTTACTGTTCAGACCAGAAGAAAATTCTCACCTTTGGGAAGAGAGAGATTTTTTGTAGGCTGGGTTTTTTTTTTTTAGTTGGGTTTTTTAAACAGGGATAGCATTAGATTTGAGTTTGATGTATTTCCAGGCAGCAGTTACAAGAGCTTCATGAATAAATGTGTAGAAAATGGACTGTGCTATCAAGGTAAATCAGCCTGGGTGGCTACTTAARTATCGACCAACAGGAACTGTGTAGAAGGGATAATTCTGAGTTCAGGGTGCTGCGTGCAAGGGGGGGCAAGAAAAGGATTTTGGGGATGTGTACAAGCTCAGGGTCATTAATTCAACACTGGGCTAAGTAGCAGGGCAGTCTGGTAGAGTTTGATTTCAGCTCATTTTGGGTGGTGAGAACAAGCTCCAGCTTGGGTGAGAATCCCATTGTCTCAGTCAGCTCCCGGTGGGTGCCTCGAGTCTCACAGCAACAGTGGAGGCTCCTGACCCTTCCTCCAGCTGCTCCTTGCCCACAGCCAGTGGAAAAGGGAAGGGGGAGGCAGAGCTGACTCCACCAACACTCAGAGCAGAAGGACATGGATCTGAGTGTCCGTGTTTAACCAGGACTGTGTTTAACACAGACAAGCCCTCGATCCAAGCACCCTGAGCAGGCTCCAGGCTGGGTGCGAGCAGCTGTGGGGRTGGTGGGCACACACAGACACGAGGGGACGGTTCCAGCCCCATTTCTCACTGACAGACCCCAAGAGAGATGTGCTTGGGGTTGAATTGATCGCAAATGTCACCGAGTTGTAGCTGGGGGAGATGGCAGAGCCCCGGCAGCCTGGCTGACAATGTTCAGTGCAAAGACTTCAGCTCTGTAATCACATCCTGGTCTGAGACACTTTGTTAGCAGCAACTCTGGAAAACAGCTGGGACTCAAAGGCTCTGCACTTCCCACAGAATAGCGCTGACCTCGAAAATCCCTTTGCATGTTTCAGCAGAAAAGAAGTGCTCGGTCAGAGCTGCACATGCAGGAGCAGCCTCCCCTGAGCCACAGCCCTTATGTAAGAGACACCCTGCAGATAAACCCACTTCTTGAAACAGGATCGTCTGCAGTAAATTAAGCTCAATCTAGATCTCCACAAGATGTCAGCAAAGCAAAGTGCATGTTCAGAGCCTGGCGAATGCAGAGGGCAAGGGGAGGTGGGCGATGGTGGCTGGGGCACCCAGCCCCAGCCAGGTCCCTGTCCCTCCTCACCCATTGCTGCCAGGCTTCAGGAAAGGTGCTGATGGGTTCATTGCCCTTTGACATGAAGCTGCTGCCCACAACCAGCCTCTCTGCCTGCAGTGTGAGCCCATGCTTTATTAAAACCCATCCATTTGCTCCTTACAGGGCTAATGATACTGCTCCAGTTGAAATTTTCCGTCCTTTCTTCTGATGCTACTTTGAAATATTTATCAATTTGTCATGCAGCTGGAACCAGATTGGGATTGATGTTTTCATTAGAACTGCCAGTATAAATATGATGCCTTTCTTGGTAAATTGTTCTGTTTGGTAAATGTGTTTATAACTTACACTGAAGGAATAGATAAAATGTCTCTGAGTATACAGTGTAACTGCCCACATTTGCCTTTCAGGGCTTCAGTTTTGGTTTTTAATAAGCCTGTGCACACAATGTGAAATATTTTGGACTCCTTGGTACAGCTACAGCATCTTGATTTCTAACATTACTCCTGGTTTTGTAACGAAAATATTTCATTTGTTYCATAACTACGAGACTGCTCAGGAGCTCTTCCACAGTTTAAAGTRAGGAGGCAGCTGTGTTGCAGCCCAAGCATTTCCCGAGTTTTGCTTCCCTCCCCTCACCTGCAAAGCAGCTGGACTGTCAGGAATTACTTCATTAACATCTTCAAAAAGATAATACTGTATTATTTAAATATTTTCCTTTTTTTCTCTTACATTTAATGCTAATAGTCAAAAGCTTCACACCACAATGCAAGATAGATGCATCTGCAGATGGTTTAGAACACCCAGTGCTCCAGCAAAGATTTCTAAACGAGATTGTCTCTACCATGTTTTCAGTTTCTTAARAATTGTTGTGGCTTCCGAAGTATTTTGTGTTGACTTGTTTTCTTCCCAGATATTTCCCAAGGTAGCAGCA